CGTGTGGGCATGGCCAACTCAACATTACTCAGGTCAATGGGCACTTTGCCTTAGCTGTTACAATGTAATAAGGGTTAACGCGAGAGGCAGTTTTTGTAAGCAGGGCAATAAAGATTAGGTTAGAAACAACACCAGAATGTTTCCTTCCTGCCTTCCTTACAGGATTAGCCCTGTAAAGCGGAAGGAAACCAAAAAAAGTTTTCTTCCAACAACCGGTTCTCTGAATCTCTTATAAAGTTAAGAACCGGTTCTCCCGAATAGGTGCGAGCTGGCTGAAACCCACCACTGGATAAAATAGAATAGAATAGAATAGAATAGTTTATTGCCCAAGTGTGATTGGACACACAAGGAATTTTTCTTTGGTGCATATATTCTCAGTGTACATAAAGAAAAATAAAATAGAATACATTCATCAAGAATCATAAGATACAACACTTAGTTATAGTCGTAGGTTACTAATAAGCAATGAAATTATACTAGGAAACAAATAAAACAATATACATTTTAAAGATATAAGCAACATGGTTATAGTCAAGTGGAAAGAGATAGGTACTAGGAGAGAGATAGGTACTAGGAAGAGAAGAAGAATAGGAATACAGTCTTAGTAGATAATTTCACAGTATTGTGGGAATTAATTGTTTAGCAGCATGATAGCATTCGGGGAGAAACTGTCCTTGTGTCTAATTGTTCTGGTGTGCAGTGCCTTATAACGTCCTTTTGAGGGTAGAAGATGAAACAATTTATGGCCAGGATATGATATATAATCACATTTTATATATGTTTATATAAACATATACTATATGTTTATTATATAAGTAATAGTTTATAGTTATTTCTGGAAGAAAACTTCATTTATTTTATTCATTATGGAAAATAAGATAACTTTCATTCTGCTTTCAACTCCTCCTTCAACATTTTTTCTTTAATTCTAGGGCAATAAAAGCCTATTGATTTTTTAGGATTCCAAGTATCAAGATTCTCATTAAAAAGAAAGCTTTTATCCATTTGCCCATAACATGCTTAAATAGGTCAATGGAGAGGTTAATATGAAGGGGGGGGGGGAAACAACTCACCCAGCTAACACCCAGAATTAAATCTATCTCTAAGCAGAACCAGTCATGCACAGGATTAAATTAAGCTCTAGTTACTTCTTACTACCTCATTCTTCTCAAGACTACACTCTTCCATCATTTTGTCTCCTTGCTCCTGGAAAGTGATGATGATGAGAGCCACAAAGATGTTAACAAAAAAAAAGGGGAAAACTACAAAATACACCACATAAAAAATAGACATCTCCATCCGGTTGCTACGGCTGGGGCCACGATCTTCCTCAGTCACATCTACTGAATGTTGTAGAACCCTGGGGACACAATGAGAAAGAGAAAACACGAGTGAAAATCACCTGTTAATGATTCCTTGTTATTTTTTTATCAAGTTAGTTGTACACTGAAAGAGTGTGAAACTCTTTTGAGATGGTATATTTATCAAAAGTAGAGTGGAATACACAAAAAATGACAAGTAAATTGACTGAAGGCTGTTTAGTTTCTGATAATTTAATGAAAGTCAGCTATACCTCCCAACTTCCTTCCATAGAATAGTTCAAGGATAGTAATCTATGATTATTCTGAATGTATACGTTTAGCTTTACATTTGCTTTAGAAGAACACTTTCCTACAGCAAATGTCTCAAGAAGCCCATTCTTTTTCTATGTGAGGTACTCTTCAAACAAGAGGGGAATTTTGCCTTTGCAAAAAAGGCATCACGACTCAGAAATCTGCCTTTGTACCCTAATAAAAATACATTCATTTGCCTCAGAAAAAGAAATTGCGTGTATTATATTATTAAAAAGGAAATGCACTAAATATTCTGATTATTCTCATAATTTAAAGGTGAACTAGAGAGCCGAGGTGGCGCAGTGGTTAAATGCAGCACTGCAGGCTACTTCAGCTGACTGCAGTTCTGCAGTTCGGCTGTTTAAATCTCACNACCTCTTCTGTAGGTGTGGCCTGCTTTCCGGGTCCACTGGTGGAACCTCTTCTAACCGGTTCGGTAGACTTGACGAACCGGTTCTACCGAACAGGTGCGAACTGGTAGGAGCCCACCTCTGAATTATGTGCACTCAAAGCTCTACGCATTACTGATAAAATGGGAATCTGCTCATATCTGCTCTACTGCCAAGTCTCTTTTTTTTAAAAAAAGAGGTTATAGTGGCTTTCTGGAGTTCAATCTGTAGGTAATCTGATTTCAGGAAGTGAAGTCAAAGAGGGGGGGATGAGAAGGCCCAACTCCATGGCCCCTGGAAAGAATAAGCCTTAAATGAAAGGATCCAGAGCAGGCCCACCCTTCCTGAGCTCCCACTAATTCAGTGGGAGAAGATGGTCCCACAATATATATTTAAGTGTGAAATGTGCCATTTTAATTCCTTTAGATGCATTTCTGGCATGTAATACCTGACCACGGCTTCTAATTACAGCTCCCAAGAAATGAAGAGACATCACTTAATGACAGAGCATTTACTTTGCGCTTGTATATATTTAAAGCATTTTCATCCTACACTTCCCTTGAAAAATCTCACAGAGCAATTCAGTTAAAAAATCAATAAAAACCTCCACTCTTAGGTTTACTAAAAAAGAAAAAAATACCAAACAGAAAAGGAAGCAAACTGAGACATCATTTCTTAAGGTTGCATTCAAAAAGCTTCTTTCCCCTGTAATTTTTAGTTGAAAGTCCTTGACTTGAGAAAAAGAACCCCCTTCCCTGAGATCATAAAGAAATGCTTCAGTCGTTTTAGAAAAATACAGGCAGTGTTCATTCAAAGGCAATTTCATCCATTCATGATTCTCAAATGCTCTGTTTACAACCAGCTAGCGATCTTGTGATAACTGTATGTTTTTTTAAAAAAAATGACGTTGACTTGCAATTGCAGTGTTCGTCTGTCTCAAATATTGATTCTGTTTCATCTCACCTTCATCATTAGAACCACGGTGTTAAGAGCGATCATAGCCATAATGGTGTATTCAAAGGATGGAGAGACCACAAAATGCCAAACTCGGTACTGGAAGGTGTGTCGGTTTTGAGGCATGTAGCGGGTGAGGGGTTTTGCGCTGATGGCAAAATCAATGCAGGCTCTCTGGAAGGAGAAAAAAAAAGGAAATCAAGAATATGTCAAGCATATTATTATAATTATTACCAATAATGTGCAACTACGTGGTACAAAGAAGTAGAACAACATCTTTTCGTGGGATAGAATCAGTGGTGGGATTCAAATAATTTAACAACCGGTTCTCTGTCCTAATGATCAGGTGGGTAGGCGGGGC